GTATCAGTCGGTCAGTTTCGATTTCTAGTATGTACTCCAGCTCGTTCCAAAGTGAAAAAATTCTTATGCAGGTAGACAAAGATGATAATGGAGAAGAATGGGCAAGGAAATACTTAAATATTAATCAATCAAATTCACAATTAAGTATCATTAAGTCGGTTCCATTATGGAACAACAGCTAAACACTAATATTTAATCAAAAAATTTGAAAAGAAAATACCCTCATGGACAGAATATTATTTAGCCAGTTTAGAGCTGACCAGTTGCGGTTGACGGCGCCCGATCACGAACATGACACGTACACAGCACAGATCAACTCAATCATATTGCAAGGAATTGAGTGATCTACCTTTTTAATGCTTGGTCACGATGATACGAGCTGCAATCGTTTATTCCTTTATCCATCTATCTGTAATTAAGTAGATAGAAAAGGAGCGATACGCAATTTTTACAACTACTTCTTTTCCGTGGATTTGAGTCAAGTATTTTATATAAAGTATAAAAATTTACAAATTACCAAATTGAATCGGGGTCCCAACTTGTATCCCTCAACCAAATGTCTCTGTTTGTCATACCTCTCAACACCTATCCTAAGCTAAATTAAGGCGTATAGTAGCCTCTATAACCTCGAGCATACTAACGCACGACTGGCGCGGACGGCGTTCTCCCGCTTTGTATATATGGAAATCCCAATAATATCACATGGTCTTTGTTAAATATTGACTGATTTTCATGAGTGCTTCCCACTTTGCAGTAAAATTTAAAACCGATTGATCTATTCAAAAAAAAAATTAATAAACCAAGCCATTTAGAAGAAATAGGCATTTTTTGAACAAAATACCGTGTTGGTAAATATTTTTTTCAGGTTAACTATTTGTCATAAGAAAATCAAATTTACTCACATTGTAGTCATGTACTACAATGTGAGTAAATTTGATTTTCTAAATCTACAGTAAACATTTTTTTTTTCAATCTTTACACCCAATCGTTAATGAGGAATAAATAGGCTTTAAAATGTAACGTTTTACGGCTTAAAAGGCGCGTAGGACCATAAAGGTGGTAAAAATACAAAAACATATTAATGTATCCATTATTAGAATTATTAGTACTTTTGAATATTTTTGAAAGTGAGTAATTTCGACTTGGTCGTCCCGAATACTGAACTCGAGAATCTTGGTTTTCTCACACTATATCTATATTCCTGAAATAAGTAATAACTAGGTAAGGTAACTTCTTTCTCAATTTACCAACAACATCGCTACAATTTAATTATTTGAAACAAACATAAACATATAATATTTTTATCAAATTAATCTTTAAATACTGCTGTGTCATAACAAATGTGAATTGTCTCAGACTGATACGAGTACATAATTACATTTATATAGAGACAATCTCGAAGATATCAGTCAATCGATTCGAAACTCTCAAATAAAATGTCTGTGCTCTGGATCATAGTTAGTGCCTATATTTTAGTGGTGAACCCCATACAAGCTGCGAGGATTCTCTTCTACATCCCTACGCCGTCCATCAGCCATCAAGTGGTGTACCGTCCGCTAGCCCAGGCACTGGCCAGCCGAGGACACGATGTCACTGTCATCACCGCGGACCCTGCTTTCCCAAAGGGAGAAACACCAACAAACCTGACAGAAATAGATCTACACGATATCTCTTACGGGATATGGCGAGAAGAAGTTATGAAAGAAGCAAGAGGCAACGCAGGTGACACGGTAGCTCAAATAACAACAATTATGAGGACGTTGTATGTGGTATTTGATAAACAGCTAGAAGATGAACAGATTCAGAATTTGCTCAGAGATAAAAGTAAACAGTTCGACTTGGTATTGTTGGAAGGAGTTTTACCACAACTCCTCGTATTTTCACACATTTATAAGGCACCAGCGATTCAAATTAGTACTTTAGGTGGTTTGTTCGGAACTTATGAATCAGTGGGTGCTCCGACACATCCACTCTTATATCCATTAAGCACTCGCCAAAAATTAATCGACTTGACACTATGGGACAAACTAAGAGAACTATTAATTTTTTATGCAACAGAAAACAGTTGGTTCAGTTTATATGACCTAGGTAACAGCATACTGAAAAAGCACTTTGGACCAGACGTACCCAATATTAGTGAATTAACAGATAAAATTGATATGCTATTTCTAAATGTACACCCCATGTTTGAAGGCATTAGACCTGTTCCACCGAATGTTGTCTATCTGCACGGATTACATCAAAAACCCACAAAGGAACTCCCTCAGGTACGTAACACTTTCAACGTTGTTTTTTGTTGAATTCAACAAGTGGCACTCGTGTTTTGATTCCAATTTTATTTTCCAGGACCTCAAGACCTACTTAGATTCATCCAAACATGGAGTCATTTACGTGAGCTTCGGCACCAACGTAGACCCTGCTCTTCTGCCGCCAGAAAAAATACAAATATTGGTACGAGTGTTCTCTCAGTTGCCCTACGATGTTTTGTGGAAATGGAGCAAAGATGAATTGCCTGGTCGATCTCCAAATATTAGGATAGCTAAATGGTTTCCACAGGCGGATCTACTCAGTGAGTTTGTATATGTATTAAACAAAAAATACTTGAATATTATTTAATTTGCCATAACACAGACTTACTGGTAATTTGTTTGCGAATTTCTTTCAGAACATTCCAATGTCAAGTTGTTTATAACACAAGGAGGATTACAGTCCACAGATGAGGCCATCACAGCAGGAGTTCCGTTAATTGGCATGCCAATGATAGGTGACCAATATTTCAACGTAGAAAGATACGTTTATCATGGTTTTGGGATCAGACTCGACATGGAAGCGCTGACTGAAAAAAAACTTAAGCATGCAATTAACGCTACAATAGAAGACGACAGGTATTCACTTGAAATTGAATTAATAGAATCAAAAACCTTATATGACGTAGGGCTTACCAATATTATGTTTGATAATGTAGAGCCATGTTCGGCACTAGAGCGGAGCGGGAACTAACTAAAATTGGAACATTCCCGAACACAGTGTCACAAATGACACAACTTATTTGTTAAAAAACGTTCACAAATCTCAAAGTTATTTTATTTTCTCTTACAGCTATCGTCGCAATATGGAGCATTTCCGTACTTTAATAAATGATGAGCCGCAGACACCGCTGGAGCGCGCTGTGTGGTGGACAGAATACGTACTGCGCCACGGTAGCGCCAAGCACCTACGTTCACCCAGTGCCAATATATCGTGGAGACAGTACTTAGAACTTGATCTAGTCTTAATATTATTATCAGTATTGTTATTAGTGATCGTACTTAGTGTTTTAATACTTCGTTTAGTGTATAGAGCTTTAAGATTTTATTTAATTGGTAATGCTAAAATTAAACGGAATTAATCAGAACTTTTTTTAAATTGGCCCTTTTTTCGACTTATTGCATTTTACTTGTATTTTTCGCTTTTGTCGTGGATGTTCAAACACAGTGTGTTGACATCATGCATCACACCCAGACTCGCACCAACAATTTTTTTGCAGCTGCAAAGCTTGCAATCTGTTTTTTGCAGGAGTTGAGAAGCTCGACATCTTTCTATTGTTTTTTTTTCATCAAAGTTTACCAACGGTTATAACTACTGCGTTGAACAGTACCCTGGGTTTCGAGTTTATTTTTAGGGAAAGACATCATCAAATATCTTCTCTCGCCCAGGATGAGGTGAAAGGGAGTGTCAGACTCTTCCTGACTAAGAAACACCCCATTTCGCCTCCTGCTACAGGCCAAGGCCGTGGTTTATTGCGCTTGAAATAAATTATTTTTCTTTCTTTCAAAACGTATGAGAGCTTGAGGCATGCTAGGGACGGGCAGTTACTGCGCACTGGTCTGAGCGAACAGACTATTTGGGGTTTACGCGAAATATATCCGGTATACGGACGCCGTGTTTCACTCAACCCTTGAAACATCAACCAACATTTCATAGAAGAAATGTACCAAGCCAAAGCAAACAATATTATATTGATATAATATTTTAACATTATAATACCTGTTTCGACTTGTCGGTACGTGACCATGGTTTACATTTGATTCTTAGATAACGAACATTGCCTAAAATAATATCTGTATGAATTGTCAGTAGATATTTAATCTGCTCTGATATTGACATTACTGATGAGTAATCTTACTACAGATTTACAAAAGTGCTTATTCATTGTGACGAATAAAAATGAATATTGGTGTAACAATATAATTTATTATGTAGCGTACTTTGAGAATTTGGTATTAAATTTTAAACAAAAAAAAAACTTATACCGAGACACAGTCTAGGATAAGTATATTTCTTTCAAATCTAAATGTATGATTCCATACAATGTCTGAAACTGATATATTTGTTTACTAACTTGATGTATAAAATAATATAAGTGTTCGAAAATAGGTTCTTTTCTAAAATCGAAATCACATATGACAATAAAACCTCATTAAAAAGTGAAAAATACAAAATAAAGACTACACATTTATATCATATTATAACCACTATTTGATTCATAATTCTTCAACTTTATCAATTAATATTATTACAAGTCCAAATATTTAAACTTACGTAAAATAAGAACAGCAATTACATTATAATATGGTCAAACACGAATCAGTTTTTTGCAAAACACGTGTGATTTACATGTTTTTGTATGGAACTACTGGCCTTATTATCTGCGTAGTTTTAAAATATTAACCAAAAGCGTAATGAAAATCCAAAACCAAATCTTTAAAACTATTTGATTCACAACAAAATTAAACAGTAATATCACTGGTTAATAATTTATTGAACCTTAGTCATATCAACAAACAAACACTTCAGTTGGTTAATCACTTCATTCGCATCAACATAATCACTAGAAGATTTTTTGTAACAAACATTAGACTAACATTGTTTTTTATCAAAATAATCCGCAAATTTTGCTGAGTCATGGTACCAGTATGTATGATATCAGTACATAATTACATTTATATAGAGACGAACTCGAAGATTTCATTCAATCGTTACGCAACTCTCGAATAAAATGTCTGTGCCTTGGGTTATAGTGTGTGCCTATATTTTAGTGGTGAACTCGATTCAAGCTGCGAGGATCCTCATCTACATCCCTACGCCGTCCATCAGCCATCAAGTGGTGTACCGACCGCTGGTCCAGGAGCTGGCCAGCCGAGGTCACGATGTCACATTCATCACCACTGATCCCGTCTTCCCAAAAGGAAAAACACCAGCAAACCTGACAGAAATAGATATACATGACATATCATACGGGATATGGCAAGAAGAATTCATGAAAGGAGAAAGAGGTGGTGCACGTGACTTAGTAGCGCAAGTAAAAGAAATAATGGGAACAATGTACAAAGTTTTTGACAGACAACTAGAAGATGAAAAGATAAAGACTTTGATCAATGACAAGAGCAAACAGTTTGACTTGTTAATGTTGGAAGCAGTTTCAACACCACTCCTCGTACTCTCACACATTTATAAGGCACCAGTGATTCAAATTAGTTCTTTTGGTGGTTTGTTCGGAACTTATGAATCGGTGGGTGCTCCGACGCATCCACTCTTATATCCAACAAATACGCGCCAAAAATTAAGCGACCTGACGGTCTGGGACAAACTGACAGAAGCGTTCATTCATTACGCTTCGGAAAAAATTTGGTACAGTTTTTATGATGTAAGCAACAGCATAATAAAAAAACACTTTGGACCCGAGGTGCCCAATGTGGAGGAGTTAATAAATAATATTGACATGATATTTCTAAATATACACCCCATGTTTGAAGGTATAAGACCTGTTCCACCTAATGTTGTCTATCTGCACGGATTACATCAAAAACCTACGAAGGAGCTCCCTCGGGTACGTAATTATATTTGCTATCAATAAAAAAAATAAAAAGTAATACTATCAATGAGACGATCTTTCTTGCCGAGTACTTATAGACATATTCTGATTCCAATCTTGTTTTCCAGGACCTCAAGACCTACTTAGATTCATCCAAACATGGAGTCATTTACGTGAGCTTCGGCACCAACGTAGACCCTGCTCTTCTGCCGCCAGAAAAAATACAAATATTGGTACGAGTGTTCTCTCAGTTGCCCTACGATGTTTTGTGGAAATGGAGCAAAGATGAATTGCCTGGTCGATCTCCAAATATTAGGATAGCTAAATGGTTTCCACAGGCGGATCTACTCAGTGAGTTTGTAAATGTATTAAACAAAAAATACTTGAATATTATTTAATTAGCCATTACACAGACTTACTGGTAATTTGTTTGCGAATTTATTTCAGAACATCCCAATGTCAAGTTGTTTGTAACACAAGGAGGATTACAGTCCACAGATGAGGCCATCACAGCAGGAGTTCCGTTAATCGGCATGCCGATGATAGGTGACCAATATTTCAACGTAGAAAGATACGTTTATCATGGTTTTGGGATCAGACTCGACATGGAAGCGCTGACTGAAGAAAAACTTAAGCATGCAATTAACGCTACAATAAAAGACGACAGGTAATCACTTGAAATTGAATTAATAGGATCAAAAACCTTATATGACGTAGGGCTGACCAATATTATGTTTGATAATGTAGAGCCATGTTCACTTATGAATCTTGCGCTCTAGCGGGAACTAACTAAAATTGGAACATTCCCGAACACAGTGTCACAAATGACACAACTTATTTGTTAAAAAACGTCCACGAATCTCAAAGTTATTTTATTTTCTCTTACAGTTATCGTCGCAATATGGAGCATTTCCGTACTCTAATAAATGATGAGCCGCAGACACCGCTGGAGCGCGCTGTGTGGTGGACAGAATACGTACTGCGCCACGGTAGCGCCAAGCACCTACGTTCACCCAGTGCCAATATATCGTGGAGACAGTACTTAGAACTTGATCTAGTCTTAATATTATTATCAGTATTGTTAATAGCAATCGTACTTAGTGTTTTAATACTTCGCTTAGTGTATAGAGCTTTAAGATTTTATTTAATTGGTAATGCTAAAATTAAACGGAATTAAACAGAACTTTTTTAAATTGGCCCTTTTTTCGACTTATTGCATTTTACTTGTATTTTTCGCTTTTGTCGTGGATGTTCAAACGAAGTGTGTTGACACCATGCATCACACCCAGACTCGCACCAACAATTTTTGGACCATATTATACAGCTGTTTTGTGCAGAAATTGAGAAGCTCGACATCTTTCTATTGTTTTTTTTCATCAAAGTTTACCAACGGTTATAACTACAGCGTTGAACAGTACCCTGGGTTTCGAGTTTATTTTTAGGGGAAGACATCATCAAATATCTTCTCTCGCCCAGGATGGGGCGAAAGGGAGTGTCAGACTCTTCCTGACTAAGAAACACCCCATTTCGCCTCCTGCTACAGGCCAAGGCCGTGGTTTATTGCGCTTGAAATAAATTATTTTTCTTTCTTTCAAAACGTATGAGAGCGTGAGGCTTGCTAGGGGCGGGCAGTTACTGCGCACTGGTCTGAGCGAACAGTTCTTTTTGGGGTTTACGCGAAATATATCCGGTATACGAACGCCGTGTTTCACTCAACCCTTGAAACATCAACCAACATTTCATAGAAGAAATGTACCAAGCCAAAGCAAACAATATTATATTGATATAATATTTTAACATTATAATACCTGTTTCGACTTGTCGGTACGTGACCATGGTTTACATTTGATTCTTAGATAACGAACATTGCCTAAAATAATATCTGTATGAATTGTCAGTAGATATTTAATCTGCTCTGATATTGACATTACTGATGAGTAATCTTACTACAGATTTACAAAAGTGCTTATTCATTGTGACTAATAAAAATGAATATTGTTGTAACAATATAATTTATTATGTAACTTACTTTGAGAATTCGGTATTAAATTTAAAACAAAACGAAAACTTGTACCGAGTCACAATCTAGGATAAGTATATTTCTTTCAAATCTAAATATATGATTCCATACAATGTTTTAAACGGATACATTTGTTTGCTAAATTGATTTAAAAATAATAAAAGTGTTCAAAAATAGGATTTTTTTCTAAAATCGGTATCACATCTGACAATTTAACCTCATTAAAAAGTGAAAAATACAAAATAAAGACTACACATTTATATCATATTATAACCACTATTTGATTCATAATTCTTCAACTTTATCAATTAATATTTTTACAAGTCCAAATATTTTAACTTACGTAAGATAAGAACAGCAGGATTACATTATAGTATGTTCAAACACGAATCAGTTTTTTTTGCAAAACACGTGTGATTTACATGTTTATGTGTGGAACTACTGGCCTTATTATCTGCGTAGTTTCGAAATATTAACCAAAAGCGTAATGAAAATCCAAAACCAAATCTTTAAAACTATTTGATTCACAACAAAACTAAACAGTAATATCATTGTTAAAACTCCAGATAGTTGATCATTTATTAAACCTTAGTCATATCAACAAACAAACACTTCAGTTGGTTGATCACTTCATTCGCATCAACATAATCACTAGAAGATTTTTTGTAACAAACATTAGACTAACATTGTTTTTTATCAAAATAATCCGTAAATTTAGCTGAGTCATGGTACCAGTACGTATGATATCAGTACATAATTACATTTATATAGAGACGATCTCGAAGATTTCATTCAATCGTTACGCAACTCTCGAATAAAATGTCTGTGCCTTGGTTTATAGTGTGTGCCTATATTTTAGTGGTGAACTCGATTCAAGCTGCGAGGATCCTCATCTACATCCCTACGCCGTCCATCAGCCATCAAGTGGTGTACCGACCGCTGGTCCAGGAGCTGGCCAGCCGAGGTCACGATGTCACATTCATCACCACTGATCCCGCCTTCCCAAAAGGAAAAACACCAGCAAACCTGACAGAGATAGATATACATGACATATCATACGGGATATGGCAAGAAGAATTTATGAAAGGAGAAAGAGGTGGTGCACGTGACTTAGTAGCGCAAGTAAAAGAAATAATGGGAACAATGTACAAAGTGTTTGACAGACAATTAGAAGATGAAAAGATAAAGACTTTGATCAATGACAAGAGCAAACAGTTTGACTTGTTAATGTTGGAAGCAGTTTCAACACCACTCCTCGTACTCTCACACATTTATAAGGCACCAGTGATTCAAATTAGTTCTTTTGGTGGTTTGTTCGGAACTTATGAATCGGTGGGTGCTCCGACGCATCCACTCTTATATCCCACAAATACGCGCCAAAAATTAAGCGACCTGACGGTCTGGGACAAACTGACAGAAGCGTACATTCATTACGCTTCAGAAAAAATTTGGTACAGTTTTTATGATGTAAGCAACAGCATAATAAAAAAGCACTTTGGACCCGAGGTGCCCAATGTTGAGGAGTTAATAAATAATATTGATATGATATTTCTAAATATACACCCTATGTTTGAAGGCATAAGACCTGTTCCACCTAATGTTGTCTATCTTCACGGATTACATCAAAAACCTATCAAGGAGCTCCCTCGGGTACGTAATTATATTTGCTATCAATAAAAAATAATAAAAATAAAAAGTAATACTATCAATGAGACGATCTTTCTTGTCGCGTACTTAAAGACATATTCTGATTCCAATCTTGTTTTCCAGGACCTCAAGACCTACTTAGATTCATCCAAACATGGAGTCATTTACGTGAGCTTCGGCACCAACGTAGACCCTGCTCTTCTGCCGCCAGAAAAAATACAAATATTGGTACGAGTGTTCTCTCAGTTGCCCTACGATGTTTTGTGGAAATGGAGCAAAGATGATTTGCCTGGTCGATCTCCAAATATTAGGATAGCTAAATGGTTTCCACAGGCGGATCTACTCAGTGAGTTTGTATATGCATTAAACAAAAAATACTTGAATATTAATTAATTTGCCATTACACAGACTTACTGGTAATTTGTTTGCGAATTTATTTCAGAACATCCCAATATCAAGTTGTTTATAACACAAGGAGGATTACAGTCCACAGACGAGGCCATCACAGCAGGAGTTCCATTAATTGGCATGCCAATGTTAGGTGACCAATATTTCAACGTAGAAAGATACGTTTATCATGGTTTTGGGATCAGACTCGACATGGAAGCTCTGACTGAAGACAAACTTAAGCATGCAATTAACGCTACAATAGAAGATGTCAGGTATTTTATTCATATAGTATATTTGAATAATATATTGTAATGTTTGATAGTCCTCATTTGTAACATGTGCACTAGTGGCATTGACCTAAACTTCAGTTCACTTTTTCTTTCTTACAGTTACCGTCGCAATATGGAACGCTTCCGTACTTTAATAAATGATGCACCACAGACACCGCTAGAGCGCGCTGTGTGGTGGACTGAATACGTACTGCGCCACGGTAGCGCCAAGCACCTTCGTGCACCCAGCGCCAATATATCGTGGAGACAGTACTTAGAACTTGATCTAGTCTTAATATTATTATCAGTATTGTTAATAGCAATCGTACTAAGTGTTTTAATACTCCGCTTAGTGTATAGAGCTTTAAGATTGTATTTAGTTGGTAATGTTAAAATAAAAAAGAACTGATCTGGATTTCTAGTGTTTTTTTCTGAAACTAAACATTGGTATGGATTTTTTTGCTGTGGGAAATTTTCAAATCCTATTCAAATCAGTGTTAAATACTATTCTATTCTCGTATATAATGCTAAAAATAATGATTAATTTAGTACAGCATCTCAGCTTTGTACTTTGACCCTTACTACAAATGCGGAAGGAGAATGAATGCGGTAAATTAAACTTTAATTGCAATTTAAAATGCTATAGTAAATAACCAGCTGAGCAGATATATTAAAAGCGACATAATAAAAGCAAATAGTTTACAGAGTAAAAGAACTAAAACATATTCTTTATCAGTCGAGCACACTTAAAGTCGTGGTGTTAGGGAAATTAAGGCACCCGCTTCACATGCATGAGAGTGTGGATTCGGAACCTAGGAAGTACAAATGTGACTTTTTCTAAGTCACATGTACTTTCTAACTGTTTGAGACTACATTACCAAACGGTGATTATATCATTAGGAAACTGGAACTGGATTAGTAATTTCTAGTTAGAAGGTTGAAATCACAAATCCGCTTTGAGCCAGCGTGGTGATTAATGTTAAAACCTTCTTGGTTTTAGAAGAGGCCTTTGCTCAGCAGTGGGCATTAAGCGGCTGAAGATGTGATGTGATGCCTTCAGCAAAAATTAAATGCTGGTAATGGCATAGAACCACAAAAACTGTAGTCTAAATATAATTTCTGGTGTCTACTTTTTGAAGCAACCAATTAAACTTATATTTTACAACTTGATTGCATCTAAAACGTGTTTGTCTGGTATAGCTGAATCATGGTGACTTGTATTTACGCAAATCATTATAGGGCCATTAGGGTCACATAACATATTTTTACTGAGAAAATCATTTTTAATTATGTAGCCTTCTCTCACGTGTGTGACATGAATTATTTAATTGAATGCAACTATGTAAGTACCTACTGTACTAAGTTGTCGAAGGGAAATACCTATAACTAGTTTTGATTTTGAAAGGCTTACTGAAAGTGATTGTCAAGTACAAGGTAATATAAGATTCCAGTATTGATCAAAGTGTTGCTACGCAAACGAGATCGATGAAACAAAAGATGATGGTGTTAAAAATAATATCAACGCCAAGTGTGAAAAAAGATTGGGAGGGTCATGCTTTGGCATATACCGCCTCAAGTGCCTCATAAAATACCGATGTTAAACAACCATAGCTTCGTATTTAACCATGTGAGTGAGTTACAGGAAGCCCCAATATTTCTCTAATCCCTGAATCTCCAGAAAGACGGCAACACATTTACAACTTCTCTGGTGTTGTGGGTGTGCCGCGTTGTTTGCCGCCGCCGTGTCACATAAAATACCTGTCAGTACATATGAATAATAAATGGTTATTTTATTGCGATCAAGTACTTCAAAACGAAGTAAAGCTACTTTTGCTTTTAATTTGTTTTTCGAAGTCGGTTTTTTACCGATTTCAATGACATTGCTTCTTTTTTTTATGCCTATTCAATATTTCAC